TGATTATTGAGCTGAACCTGAGATAACACCTTTAAATAAAGTACAATTAGAAGGCCATTTCTCTTCCTGCTGTTGCTGAGGTTAACTAACTGGCTTTAACTGGCCACAACTTAATTGCTATTCTTTAAATGAAGGGTAAGGCCTCTAAACTGATATAGCATGGCATATGTAATAAATAAGTGAGAACTGAAGCATTCCTCTTAGCCTGTGAACAGTGAGATGCTGTTGCTTTTTTAAAAGTTCATCAAGGTCAAGAAGTCTAGGGACAAAGTGAAGTTTGCCATAAATCAGAGTTAGTGACCACAAAGAGAGCTTTAAAATGAAAGATTTTTTTTTCCAGCTGTGTAAAAAACAAATCAAAACAAACAAAAACATGAGAACGAAGAAAGATGAAAAGGTGTGCTCTTCGTGCGCTGAACACGGAAAAGATAAGCAAAGTATCACCCTAAAAGGAAATGAATTCTTGACCTCAGTCTTCAACCAGAATGATGATGGCAAACATGGGAATAAAGGGAGGAAGAAGTATGGGGATGGAGGTATAGAAACAGAAATTACCACACTGCAGGGGTAAGCAGAATTAAGGAAGTGTGTGTGTGTGTGTGTGTGTGTGTGTGTGTGTGTGTTGGGGGCAGTGTTCATTCCATAATTGTGAAAGAAGTGGCACATTAAATTGCACATCCATTAGCAAGGATTATTACCAAATCTAACAAGTCAGCATGGCATAATATGACTTGCAGAACAGCAAATATTTAAGAAGGGCCCGGGGCAACTAGTGATGTTGCCCCGGCAATTGATATTGATATCAATATTGTCTGATGGCAATAATATGAAACATGAGAACAAACATTGAGGGAAAGAATACTCAGACGTGAAAACAGAGGGAAATGGGAGAATGCAACACCACAGATTGCATCAGACTACACGGAGGGCACTCTTTGATAAGATAACTAATTTTTTAGATAAAGGTATTGAAGGTAGCTTTCGTCTATCTGGACTTTGGTAAAGCAGTTGATATGATGCCACTTGGAAAATGATTAGCTTAAGTGGAAAAGATGGAGATTAGCACAAGAATTGTAAGGAACTGGATAAAATTTAACACTGTGAGCAGATTAAACAGGTATGACCTGGAGGAAGATTACAGAAGGTATTTCTTTGGATCAGTGTTAGGACCAATTTCATTTAATACGTTCATTAATGAGCTTAGCACAAAAAGCAGTAGTGTGCTAATGAAGTTTAATGGTGACAAAAATTGGGAGTCATCAGTGCAGAGGTGAATCATAACATTATACAAGGGACTGATTCAAGTTAATAGAAATGGGATGGACTTTCATAGTAGAAATTGTAAGGCCATGCAGTAAAGGGCAAATACCAAGAATAACTGCTATAAATTCATAGGCTGTAAATGACAGGAGTAGAAAAATACCTAGGTGTACTTACCTGAACCCAGCATGGGTTTTTTTATGGCAATGCGGTCATAGTTTCATAGTTTCAGGGTCGGAAGGGACCTAATAGATCTTCTAGCCCGACCCCCCGCCAGGGCGGGAGAACAACCCAAAAAACACAAACAAAACCACTCACCCTAAAAACAAAAACGGGACTCAAATGAGTCCAGCCAGGTAAGTATCCAGCCTCTTCTTAAAGATCCCCAGGGTAGGGGCCAGCACCACCTCCCTTGGAAGTTGGTTCCAGCTCCTAGCCGCCCTGACTGTGAAGTAGTTTTTTTGGATGTCCAATCTGTACCTCCTCTCCATCAACTTGTGCCCATTATTCCTTGTTATGCCAGCAGGGGCTAGGGGAAACAGCGTCTCCCCCAAACCCTTCTGGAAAAAAGCAAATAAAATCCTCGGTCATCATTCCAGTAGAGAAAAGGCAGAATTAGTGCCATTTTTGCAGGCACCAGGGAGACCTCTTCTGGGCTGTTGTACTTAATTCTGTCCAGTCACATACAAGAAAGGGAAATTCAAACCACAGCAGGGTAAGAGAAGGACCACAAGGATGGTTAGAGGTGTCTAGGGCTGGAGACTCAGGGCAGAACCCTATTTCACTGCTAAGGCTTGTGTCTTGCACAGTTTTTAGACATCTACATCCTACCCCACTTCATATGGCATCCTGCGTAGTGCTTACACACCTAAATACTTCAGGCAGCTACATTTTTGCTATATGCAATCAAGTTTATCTCTACTCTGTGTGTGAGAAAGCAATTCAATACGGCCCTGGAGGCATTTAGCTTTATTGTGATTCAACTTTGTCATGGATGAACAGAAATGCTGCATAAACCCCCAAACTGCAAGACTAATAACAGTGAACTGACAGCACTGTACAGGTGCCTGTCTTTGGGTCTGTGGTCAAGACACTTGCCCAGGAAAAGGTAGACTTGAGAGACCCTGACTTTGAACTTACCTCTCCTGAAGGGATTCAAGCCATGCTCTTCTAAACCTGGAGGTGGGGAGAGGAGACTTTTTGGCAGCTGTGTCACAAGGTAAGCCCCGCCTGCTCCAAATGCCACTCTGATCCCATTTCCCTGACCAATATATTGGTGTGCTTTCTGCTTCCTGCCTGAGCTGCTGCTCTGATTTCTGCTCCCTGCCCTAATCTGGCACCTATTTCCTGCTCCCTCCATGATCTGCCACATGCCATAGTCAAGGGGTGCCCACCCACACCACTTTCGGCATGTGCCTTAGCATGACCACCTCTGTCCTACGTGATAGTATACAAGCTAAACATGAGGTCAGGCAGGACTAACAGCACCTTCCTGTTGAGAGTATGTCACTACACAGCCAAGAGGCAAAGCATACTGGAGGCAGAAACAGCAAGAGGGAACCTGACTCTGTGGCTCAGTAAGGAGATAATTTCTTGACGGGGGTAGGGAGCCCTGACTTCCAATGCTTTTTGTGCATTTTGCATTACAGTGTCATTGAGAAAAGTGTATCAACAGCACTAGGGAGAGAGACAGGAGGTTTGCTTACAGGGTGTTCCCCCTGCCTCCACCTCCTCCTCTGTGGGGCTAGAATATGTGCTCCAAGTGCATGATTTGGAAATTCAGGCAGTGGTCCTCTGCAGTAGCGGCTACTTCATGTATGGAGGGCCTTTAGAAAAATATGACCCAGGGTGCATCTACATGAGATGCTCTACTGCAAAGTAGTGTAGTTTACTGTGCAGTAAGCACATGTGTCTACATGTGCACATGCTTACTGCAGAGTAAACCTCACTAATCATGAGTAAATTTGCTACCTGCAAATGCAAGTAGCAAACTTACTTGCGATTAGTTGCTGTGCAGTAGCGCTCAAGTAGACACGTGACTGGGAGCAAATCTGCTCCCTGTCAGCTGGCAACTAGGAGGCTGGAAATTGCTCCTTGCCCCTGGGAGCTGCCTGCTGCTAGAACAGGCTTCGCCACTGGAGCCCGGGCAGGGACTATGACTCCCTGATTTGGCAGCAGGGAGCTCCAAGACCCCCGCTTCACCATCACGATTGAGGTGTGGGGGGCCTGGGAGATTTTTATCTTTAAGCACCAGCTCTGTGACAGCAGGGCCATCACTGGGAGATCCTTATCCACTAGATCCATGCAGCGATTCTCAACCAGGGTACTGGTGCACCCTAGGGTGCCACCAGATCCTTTGAAGTGTATCTTGAGGTGTGAACAGATAAGCAAGGTGTGAAGAGATAAGCAGATAACCTGAACAGATAAGAGTAGGATGATCCCCTACTCCCTGCCCAGCCCCTCTGCAAGGAGGTAAGCACTGAAATATAAAAAATAGTTTTTGAAATTGGGTGCCACTCAATTCACAAAACTTATGAAGGGCTGCCTTGAGTCCTGTGAGGGGTGCACTGAATCCAAGAAGTTTGAGAACTACTGGGCTAGTAAGTGCAAGCCTTTCCCCCTCCCCACTTAAAATTAGGTCTAAATTGGAACTTGATCAGTTTTTGAAAAGGAGTATATGCTGTGTTTGCCCATAACAATAGCAGGGGCCTGGATTCATTGGTCCAGGAGATCCTTTCCAGTCCTAGTTGCCTATGATAGGACATGGAGATGGGCTTCTGCTGCATGAACTACGCGTGCCCCTGGAGGGTGGGGGGGGTACGGTGACTGCCCGCAGGCAGTGGTGGGAGGGGTGTGGCGGGGGGGGGGGGGGGGGGGCCGCCGGGGGCCGCCCGTGGTGTTGTCAGTGGCCGGGTGGTGGGGGTGACAGGAGCCGACCGGGGGTCAGCAGCCACCTGCAAATGCCACCAGCAGAGTTGGCAGTGGTCAGTGGCGACTGCCCAGTTTCTCTCAGGGGGTGGACCGCCAATCTCAGGGGGTACATGTGCACCCACGTGCACCCCCTACATGTCGCCAATGTTCTTCTGCTTGCTACACATGGGAGCAGCAGCCTAACCAAGAAACCCCCAAACCATCATCCTTCCACAGATGTCCAGCACATATGTCCTCTAAGATTCCCAATGTGAGCCTATGCCAAGAGACCTAATGTAAATCACTGGATGTATGAATAAGGGAATATTGTGTAGGAGTGGAGAGGTTATCTTTGCATTTGGCACCAACATACCATAATCAGCTCTTGTGACCATGCTGCAAGAAGATGTTGAAACACTGGAGGAGGTTTTAAACAAAACAGGTTTAACAATACCCGAGGTTTTACAATACCAGAAAGCTGTGACATGGCTGATAGGGAGAGAGATGAGGTCTAGGAAGGTCCAACCTATCCTATCTGCCCTTGGGCAGTGTGGTTAAGGTACACCAGCTTCTTTCCCAATATGATGCAAGGGGATGATGTAGCTGACACCACCTCCAGCCTTTGGTTACCCAGGCTTAATGACCTAGTACCTATCAACAGGTGGATCAAGGCTTGAACTCATGCCTTCTGAGCTGTAGCTATCCATCTTAATCCCCCTTCTATCATACCCATTTTACAAGGCATGGGACTCAGCAGCAAGAAAGGTAAAAGGTGACGTGGTTTATAAGTATTTACATGAGAAACAGGAATCAGAACTCGTGGTAGAGGTGATATCTTTTATTAGACCAAATAGATTATGCCAAAAAAAAAAATCTTTAACTACAAGCTTTCAGGCATAAGCACCCTTCTTCAGGCACAGGAGGAAAGATTGTATAAGTTCGTGTAGAGAGAAATGAAAGTTCATATTTCATAGGAGAGTTGAAGATGCAGCATAATCTCCTGTTTGGAACAGTTTATTTTATGCAGATTAGGCCCAGAGAAAAGTTGGAAAAATCTAGTTTACCTCGCAGTTGTTTGGTGGCAAGCAGGATGCAGTCATATTTCCTTCTGGTTATGACGTTTTGTGTTTCACAGAGGAGCAAAAGGATGTAATGCTCTTCTGGGAAGGAATTTCCTATGTGGTGAGGTATCTCTGGGCTCTAGTGAGAATGCAGATTACCTTGAACAAAGGCAGGTGCAGGGTCTCAGGTTTCAGGTGGTAAAGCTTGCTTCCTCCTTGTAAAATTATTAAGATTTCATTTTAAAAAATCTACTAAAATATGATATCTTCCATGTGTCAGGTATCCAGATTGTAGCCGTATTGGTCTAGCAGCACAAGACATCAGAGCTCGTGGTAGAGGTGACATCTTTGATTAGATCAGCTAGATTTTTGCCAAAAAATGTTGTTAATTGCAAGCTTTCGGGCACGTGAGAAACAGAACTGTTATAGTAGGTAGCCTTTTATTCTAGAAGTTTTAAGACAAGGGAAAAAATCAACACACAGCTTTTTCTTTGGGGCAACTGTAACAATCCTCTACCAAATTAGCACACAAAGTCAAGCACAGAACTACTGCTTCCTGGAAAGAAGGGGTGCCATGTACCATATTTTCTCGCATATATAATTTTTTACAAACATGATGGATGGGTGCGGGCTATACAAGGGTGTGGGCTATGCAGAGCCATTTATGCAAAAACAAGTGTAGCAGAAGTTAATAAGTGCATTAATAATTGTTTGAATAGTATTTCCAGGTTGTACGACATACTGGATGATGACGATACGAGTGCTATAGCTGGTCCACCCGCCTTGCCATGTTCGAAAACAGCGTTCTGTCCATTCTTTCATTATATCCTCATTCATCCACCCTTTCTTATTGCAAATAACTGCAACTCCATTTGGGATCTTTTCTTGGGGCATTGTTACCCATTTGAAAATAACCATTGGTTTTAACTTTATACCACTCACGGTGCACGCTAGTGCAATGGTGAAATTTGTTCATTCATGGCAGAGCACCTCTCAGGCTTAATAGGCTTAAAATCATCTCTGGTACCGACACTATCAGGTGCGGGGAATACATGGGCTCAGTCTATACACGGACTACTTTCCGAAAATACAATTTTCCGCGGGTTATAAATTGGTGCCGGTTATATCAGTGTGTGGGCTATATGCGAGAAAGTACAGTAATGGATCAGCTGATTAGTTCGCTGTGTTGGTGGGATGGCTTCTGAAATCTAAATATACTTTTCATCTTAATACAGTAGGTGTGATCTTTTAAAGTAGCTGAGACAAGATAAGCTACATCAAATGCTTTAACTGTTGACAAAGTCTAAGGGCCTGGATGAATTATAGGGCTCCGACAGACCAATGTTGATTGGACAAGCTACAGCAAGTAGCTCAGGGAGGTGGGCTCCTTGCTGAAGTCTGCTTATCAGCCTCCTGGCCTTAGTCCCACTCTATCTGTTTTCTCACAGTAGCTACTGCTGCATTCACCAGTTCATAGAAACACACATCCCTTTCATCAAATGCTCCGATGCATCACCTTTGGGTCAGATTTTCACACGCTCAGAACCATTGGAGGTCACATTTTCAAAGGTGCTGAGCTCCCTTGAGGAGACAAAAGGAATTATTTAGCACTTCTCTGTCTTTGATTCAACTTTTCCACAAGGTGGCACTAGGAAACCACTGCTGAGAAGCTCAGGCTGGGAGGGATCCTGTGCATTGGCTCCTGAGCCCTGCCAGATTCCCACTAAGGTGTTCATCCATCTAGCTGTCACTGCCCTATCTGCCTGCACTGCAATGTGCAGTCCAACAGCAGGGAGAAATTAAAAGACTCGAGCCATAACCTCTGCCTTTTGCTTAGTCGTCTTTCTTTGAGAAACTGGACGTAAGACACAATCAGAATGTCAGGTCCAAGTATCCTGAGTTCAGACTTGACCTCCGTGCAATTCTTATTTCAAGTCAGCACCTAAATCAGAAGGATCCACTTTTTTCCAGTTTATTTAATGTAAAGGCAGCATCTTGTGAATTGTCTGTGCTGTTGAACCTGAACTGCAGCCCTGACTCAGCCTTAGGATCAATCTGACCCTACCCCTAATTCATATCCCAACACTTCTTTTTAGTCCATCTCTAGAGAAAACCTTGCCAAGCAAACTCAATTCTCCATGTTCCTAAACTATCACCAGGCAAAACACATCTCAGACACAGCAATTCTTAACCTTTAGTAGTGTGCACATCCTCCGGTATATGCAGGCATCAGTCATTAATCACTGATGCTGTAGAAGATCTAACATGGTCCCAATAGCCAAACAACTTCATGAGAGATTACAGAAATTAAATCAGGTCCCTCAGCAAGTAATAACCTCTAGCTTATGCTTGAGGTACAAACCTGCAATTAGTGCTTTTGTGACAGCAGTAATCCTTACATTGAATAAGGACACGCACCTAGGCCCTGTGAGCTCTATGCAAGTAGGGTTTATTAACAAGCAGTGTCATAACATATACATATATATCCACAATATATGTATACACATTTATATCTACACAATAAGCAGGTGTTTCTTTTTTCACCTGTACTTTTAAAATGTCAAGTGTATATTAGAAAGAAAAACTTCATAGTACAAAAATAAAGTGCTTTTACCTGTAAAGTCCAGTAGGCATTATCCTACAAAGGGAAGAATAACATTACTTTTATAAAAGAGCATTAGGTCAGGGAATAATAGAGAAAGAAGTTATACAAAGATTAGCTGAGTTAGTCTCAAAGAAAAGAGCTGTTAGGCATTTGGACAGGGAATAGTGGTGAGCTGTTTTCCTAGGCTGCAGCAATCATTTTTAACTGTTGAATCCATCAAGGGGGATAGCAGGAGTATCCAAAGAGATGCTGTGTGTGTCTACACGTTCATTAATTACAGCACATTAAGTTTAGTACCTGTAATGATGGGTACTAACTTCGTGTGCCATAATCAGCGCTCCTGCACATTAGCACAGATGAATGGGTTTTTTTGTGATGCTACTGCACGTTACACTAAATCTACTGCGCATTAACGCATTAGCACAGGCTTTGCGTGCCATGCTAAAGCACAGTACAATTAGGCTTCTGCACATGAAGCATTTCATGTAGACATGCCTGCTGTGTTGTTACTTAAACAGTAAGATTAGTCAACTTCGTTTAAAGATGGTGTGACTTACTGCTTTTTCCATTGATTTTTAAAAAATGCAGCTGCTGTGTGGATGTAACCGTCTTGGGGCAATTATAACAGGACTACACAGAGTTCATATGGCTGAGACATGAAAGGGTCATGAAGAAATCACAGCACCACGACCTCCTCAGAAATGAGATCTGAATGTTATGGTTGATAAGCCCTAGAACCATTGCGCTATTGCCATTTATTCATGTCAGCTTTCGTAGAGTGAATGCTAGAGATCACTGTAACTTAGATAAAAAGGGTTTCTATTACACAGCACCTTTCATTGTGAAGGATCTCAAAGCTGTTTACAGAAAAGGGGCTAAATCTGACATTTAGGTATTGTATATACTTGAGCTAAAGCCAGCCTATCACAGCCTATAAAATGGAGCACGTGTTTCCAAGACTCTGACCACCTTCTCCTACCTGCTCCAGAGAAGAAGAGGGTTAGAGGACCTTACTTTTTCACATCTAGATCCAAGGGCCAGGTAGAGGCAATGAGAATACTTATTGCTCCTTTATCCCTTGTGCAGACATGTTGTCCAAGAAAGAAGCAAGCCCCGATTTACTATTGACCTCTGCTGCTATTTTTCCTATCTGACGATCCTGGACCAGAAATCAGTAAGCAAACTTTTTGTTCATCCTGTGTTAAATTGAGCTCAGCAATAGCACACACTTTTCCATGATATATTTGTCACAGTGTACAATGCAGCACCTTTGATTCAGGCACTGGGTAGAGGGAACAGAGATGCACAATAAATAACAGCTCTAGTTGACTCTCCAATGGGCAATACTTTGTGCAGGACATGTTTAACTTAGGTTGATTTTTTGGTCAGGGCACAAGATATTCTTCCATAAAATGCCAGAAGCTTTTTTATGACAATAATCATGAATATTATGAATATTTGTAGAATAGTTTGCATATTATTCCAAAGACATTCCCTCCAACTGCACAGTGCCCCTTTCCATTCAATACTGAGAGCCTCCTACTTAATGTTGTTAGCTGAAACACATTCAGTTTAGCTTTGCAATCCCTTACCCAAGTGTTCATCAGGCCCTAGCTTGCCTAGCTTTTGAGAGCTAATGCGGTCTCAGGCTGAAGCAACGTGGTTGAACAATATAAAATATAATGGAACTATACTATGCACAAACATGTTGGTTGGAGAAATGCTAAGGGACATCACCCCAACAGAAACGTATCTTCGCTGAGGCATTAGGCAATTAGCAGCAGTCCTTTTTTGTTCTCTGGCAGAAATTACAATCATTGAGGCACTGAATGTCTGGGTTTGGTCTGGCCTTTGGGTTACATCTCAATGGTCTAAAGGGGGATGGTAGGACTTGGACAGCCTCTAACTCCTCCATACTCTTCCCTAGGCATAAATGTTGAAGGTCTTGGTATGATGGTCACAGGACTCTACCAGGCACCTGACTAGACCTCTTATGTGTACACCATGATCCAGAAAATCGACAGTTGCTGACACTATGCACAGAAACTCACATGTTATTGTGCATAAATCGATCTCCTAGCTCACTCCGAGTGAACACCTTCTAGTTGCATGAAACTATAATTGTGCTTCAAGTCAATAGTTCACAGTGGATTTATGGAAGAGATTAGAAGAAATGGATGGCTTAGGGACTATTTCAGGTGGAAGAAGTGGATGGATGTTTTAGAAAGGCAGATGCACTGAAAGGCTAGATAGCTATGACAGGCTCTATATCTGAAAGAAAAGGAATCAATTCTTAATCTATAAGCAGTGGACTAGGTCTACATCATAAATGCAAAAAGAAATTGTTGCATGCATGAATAATTCACTTGATGCCCTTTTTTGTTTGTCCTCAATAATGATCACACACACTCCAATAACAGAACCTTCTCCATACAGCTTAGGTTTTCTCTTCCGGTTCATCCCACAGCGCAGCACAAGATCAAATTCGCCTTGTATTGAGGTGGGCCAAATGGAATTGCCCCAGTTAAGAAGGATGTTGAACTTGACCTCAAATCTAGAACTGGATGAAACTTGTGAACCTCCTTCTGTCAGATGTGAAGCGTTCCTTCTATTGCAAACACTTCAGCTTTTGGCATTGAATATTTTGCAGGCCTGTGCTTAAATCATTAGACTCTTCAGTGGTTGCAAAAAATTAAAACAAAGCGCACTAGTTCAAAATTAAAGCAATCATTTCAATAGCATCTTTCATCCTGTGAGTGCTCAGTATGTTCTCCTGGTTGAGACTGATTCTGCAAGGCTTCTGACTTTGGGACTGCTCTCCTTGTCAATGGAAGACCCAAGCACAAAGACGTACAGCATGGAACTGTCTACATACACAGTGGGGGAGAATGCAGTTGCCACTGTGGTAGAAGACAGAAGTCAAATGTCTCTTACCATAAGTTGTCGTTTTCTTACTGAAGCACCACAGAAGGTCTCAGGGTTTTCAAAACAATTAAAAGCAGATTAGTTTTATTGGGAGATCTCCATGCAGGAACCATTATAGTACTCAATTGATCCATCAATTGAAGTGAGTAGTGGGGCAAGTCCATTGAGCTGAAATGTTTGGGATTTGAACCAGTGGTTCCAAGATGAGCTGAGCTATAAAAATCATTAGGTCCTTTTACAGGGCAATGAAGCATGTGTGTTTATAGGCATGCATTTGGAGTCATTCAGGCAACTAAGCAAAGAGAAATTATTAAAACCACATGAAGTCTTGTGCACATAGTGTTATGTTGCATGGCTCAATACTGCATAGAGCACTTTCTCATTGATTGTAAGGAAGGCTGAGGGCTCTCAGACACTTACAGGGTTGGACCCTAGTAGAGTTGTAATATTTTTAAATTACTTCTGCCATTGTTGGTCTCCCGAAGAATTCCATGTCTGACATGTTAGACAGAAGGATGCTTCTTAAAGAATGTGCCAAGCAACATGGTCTGTGTGAAACAGTCTGCTTCTCTACGATTCACAGATAGGTTTCATTTTGGTTCACAGCTTGGCCAAGAGGAACCGAATCCCTTTACAGATACTCAGGTTGCCATTTAAAGCACGTCAGTGAAAGAAAGAATTGGCCATGGAAATGTTTTCAGTCGAAAAGCTCATTGTTTCTGTGGATGAAACATCATATTTTCCTGGGGGCAAAAAATGCAAAATGAATTGGACATGCAGACAGCAGAGCACTGGACTTGCTAATGTTAGAAGATGGAGACTGTGACACCTGCCCATCTAGCCATCTTGATGACTTGGGAGATCCTCTAACAAGCATCTTGTCTCTGGGCTGAGGCAATACCATAGATCGTAACATCACTACATGGGGAACTCATACATGCATACTGCCAATGAAAGGTTAAACTGGCTAAAGGAAGGTGACGCTCGATTCCTACTCTGAGTTCTGGACATTAACTAAAATTCTGCTCTGCAAACTTAGGCTAAGGCCAAGGCCAAGGCTTGTTATCTTGCTAGGTAGTACAGCCATTGTCACTTACCTGTTTTGCCACATAAACTGTTTAATGGTTTTGACAAGGGAGACTTCATGGAGAACACTGGTGCGGAGTTTCCCTGGGACGTTGACTGTAAAACGGAAGCCGATTTTAGTTAAAAGCCAGAGACATTTTCTACAACCATACTTTAAAAGAAATTGTTTGAATAAAATGCTGTTCAGTGGTGCATGTGAGAGAGTGATGTGCCTATGAATGGAGGCATGAGGCAAATTAGATAAAGGGAGCTTCATTTTGGACAGACACTACCCCCTCTTTTATTGAAGCATTGGCTAGGCTAAAAAGATGGAGTCATGGACTGAAGCAAGGGAGTGGGCTAATATTATACCTCTGAGCAGCTTGACCAGATGTTCCAACACCTGGCACATTGCTGGGACAATTCTTTGCGACTTTAAAATCCCCTCTTCTCATACTGACTGAGCAGTATCTATTCACTTGGGCAGTACCCTAGAAAAACAGGCTTTCAATGGTGGGAGGGGGCAGCATGTGGATGGCTCCAAGGTGGCATCTAGTCCAAGTCAACCTATTGGCACAGGATATGAATTGTTCTTCTCTCTGTGTTTGCAGCTTGCTCTTTTTTTGACTGAATCATGTTTTAGGATTAAACATTCACTAGGGCTGCAACTCTGCCATTTGTCGGGCACCTTCCAAGCCAGCCCCAGGTACATTTATAGTGATGAACACAGTAGATGTGAAATGTAGCACACAGATATAACTTCAGATGACTCATACAATATGTAGAGACAAGCAACCTCCCTTTCAATGGTGCATATGAAAAATAGGCTAGACTCCAGGCTCTGTCCTGCCAGAGGGAACGGCCTCCTGGTGTCTGAGCTCAGGAGAATTCCCATTAGCATTGCAGTGCAATTCAGATCCTCTTTGGGTCAGAAAGAATTACAGTCATGCAAGCATGCAAGATTCCCCCCACCAGAGGCCAGGGGAATGCAACCTACAAAAAAGTTGGTACTTTACAGAGGAGCTGGGAGAGAATGATTTCATGCTGTTGTAATAGGGTTGAAGTGTATCTATACTGCTGGAAATGATGGGAATTTCCTTTGTGGAATACTGGAGAAGTCTACAGTGATGGAAAATAATCAGCTTCTATAGAGATTGTTTAGGTTCATAGAGGTTATTGTAAAACCTTATGAACAGAATGAATTTTCTGCATTGCTTCGAGAAGTCCTCACTCTCTGTTAAATTCTACAGGACTTTCCTCATCTGGATTCCTGAGGCTGTAGCACTGGGAGTTAAATAATGCAATTCACTAGCTTTCAAATGCAGATTCAACAGGTGATAAAGGAAGAAGCTGAATATAAATTAATCAATTTTAAGTCAACGGTCAAAGCATGGTCATTCTACTTCTTTTATTCCCTCTTTCTCAAGCAACATTCCCGTTGAAATGGGCTGAGATCTCAAAAGGTGCAGCCATCAGAAGTCAATGAGAGCTCAAGGTTCTCAGGATTTGGGTCAATGGAACTGTACCCAAATTAGATGTGCAGAATCAGATGTGCCTAATGATTTTTATCTCTATTTTTAAAGAGAAATGGCTTATTTTTGATACAGGAGGGTAATCTGACTGAAAAGGCGCTGCCATATCAATATTGGTGGCTTGTAGAATTGTAGCTAAAGCGAACCATTCTACTTGGACTGACTTGTTAGATTGGCTCCAGATGTAATACTGTTTACCCCCAAACATAACAGCCATACAACCAGCAGCTGCAGGGCATCAGGCAATAGAGGAAGAATGGAATTTAAGCAAATTGTTAGAAAATGCTCCCAGCTCAACAGGAAACCGATAGACCCTCTACAAAACTTCTGGAGTAAGTGGAATGTGCTGAAAGGCATCAGGTAGTTGATCTAAAGACTGATGTTTTCCATAAACCCATAGCACTGAGTACAGCACTGGTAGGGACAGCACAAATTTCTTCTTGTTGCCCTGACAAATAACTGACCAGTTAGGTGTTATACCTAACTCTTAGGCACCACCTTCCTTGAGTGGAATCTGGGTGAGAGATATGGGTTTAAGCATCCTCGTGTTGACCATTGCCATGAATCATCTTTCCTGCCTCCTGAGCAGGTGATTCATTCTTTAGGAAGTCTCCATCTCCTCCATGTTTTTGAAAGCCACTGCAGCTGCATTTTTCCATTGGGGTACATGATAGGTGTGCTCTGAGAACCAGATCAGGTCTGCAGGGGCCATAGGTAAGGGAATGCCTTATTTCTGGATCCCAACTGGGCTTGATGAAGAGCAGGATGCTGAGCTCCTCAGCTATGCCAAGACTGGGGCAATTCTAGGCCTATACACAGACACAGCTCTACGGTGCCTACTGAAATGTAAAGCATCTCAGTACAGCAATGGTAGAGTTTAGGTGCCTCCATGGCAAGGTATCTGAGCATCACTTTTTGCCCTTCAGTTGAGGTCACTTGTGCTTAGATAATGTGTCACTTCCACATTAGGGTTCAAAATCCTTTAATGGTCTTAAACCTTGACCTGGATGTCCTAGCTTGTACAGTGAAAGGCTATTTCATCCTTGGCCTCTGATGAGGCTGCTCTCATAGTTGGCAGGTTTACCCAACTGTAGCTGTTGTCTGTCATGACTCTTGATAGACACAATTCATTTTTGCATGCACAAAATCCATCGTCTCTTATTTGCCTATTTTTCGACGGTTTTAAAACATTTACAAATAGCAGAACCACAACAATTAACATACTACGTCAGACTTATGGGTCATCATTATCCTTTTTCTGACTGCCAGTACCAGCTGGTTAGAGGAAGGTGTAGAAACCCCTTATGTGATAACCTGCCTGGATGGGAATTCTCCTTCTAAACCCCAGTAGTTACAGGTTGAGCACAAGTTCTGTTGTTTCCTGAGTTGATGAGCATTTACCCAGACTCAGATTCTCCATTTGTTTCTGTGGAAGTCTGTATGTAAAGATGAGACCAGACTGATTTTTCCTTAATTAAAAAACCCCCAACTGAACAAAATTTTAAATTTAAGAATTTTCAACAAGATTTTGAACTCGGTTTTTAAAGGAAAATATTTTTTCCTCAAAATTCTCATCTGTTTTTGAGAAACTATAAGTAAAAATTTAAGAATATTGAAAAATAATTTTCCAGGTCCTAGTAAATAAGATAAAAATTATGTTTCTTTAGAAATGCATGTAGATTAGTGCAGAGTTAAAACAATAACTGCAAAATGTATTGTTAAAGAGAAGATTTAACCTTTGTCTGTTGCGAACTCCATTTGGTTGATGAACACTTGTTCAGCAAGGCTTCTCGTACCTGTGTTTAGCAAATAAAGTCAATCAATTACTTTGTGTATTTGGGTAAAATAACAATCATATATTTGTCTTGGGCATAAGGAGTTATTCAAATTCTTACCTTCTTGTCCCAGACAGTTCCAAAGAGCAAAATGAATAAACCCTACGAAACATGAGAATTATATTAAAAGCATGCATGTATCTCCTATTTAACTGTACTACAATATATCCCTCATACACTGTCTATATTGCTTATTTAAATAGCACATTTTTAAGGCAGAAACAGACTTCCTCATCATATGTGCCTGTACAGTTTCTAAAACAGTGGAGAGTGGGCCTTGTCTGAGGTCCCTAGGCATTACTGTAATATAAATAATCATTGTCGCCATCTCACAGATATGACAGAAACTAACAGAGACAAGGAATTTTCCAATTATGGCTGTTGCCACATCCTCAAAGAGCCCCATTGTTCCTGGTTATTGCAGTAGAAGATGGCTAGGTCAATTTCCTGTCGTGAATCTTGAACACTTGCTCAATGTTGCTACCAAATTAATTGCCATACTTGCCTAGGGTGTTCATGTAGGGTTAGCCTGGTACAGTCACAATAAGGCAAAACATTTTTGGTAATAGAAAAATAAATGCAATAAAAGTGAAATGAAGAAGAAAAAAAAATCAGCTTCAATACTCACTTGCAAAGCATTCAAAATTGTGAATAGTATGTGGAACACCACTGAGGTGTCTTTAATAACAGTTGCAAATCCAAACCCCCAGGTAAGGCCTAACAGGGGTGTCAGGACACCAATACTTTTCCCAACTTGAATGAAGAAGCTCCTCTCCTGCTGGTTTGGCTTGTCACCAACAGCTGGCCTCAGGATTTTGCCTATGACTACAATAGCAATGATAAAATTCACAGCCACAATGATCAGTGCAGGTATGACGAAGGCAAGAAGAGCTTTACTCATCTCCCAGCTGAGCCAACAGGCATCCCTTCTTTCGTAAGCACCATATGGATGTGTGACAGCAATGGTGATGACTGATATGGTGATAGGGCACCCGTAGCCCAATGAGAAAGCTACCGCTTTCTGGGTGGTCTTGCTTGTGTCATGTAAAATGAAGACCAGACGGTAAAAGAGCATGAGGCCCAGAGCAAGCATCCAGAAAAAGACACAGAGGTAGAACAGATGGATGAAAAATGTGACAGCTATGCAGATGTCCTTCACTGTCTCCTTTATGTCATGGAGGGAGGCTGCAACAATGAACCAGATGTCTGCAATCAAAAGGGAAGTGGCTATGTTTAACATACAGATGTGGCGCATGTAAGATGTTCTGTTTTTTGTCACAGATTTCCATACCAGGAATTCAATTAAAATACAGGCCAACAGGCTCAATATGGAAATGCTCAAACCGATGTAGGTAATATAATCTAGTGCATTTCCTCCAATGGACACTGCATGGGGTGACATCAGAATTGAAAATGAGGTCAGGTGAGTGCAGTTGCATGTGACATCCTGCTCACGGTTCTCAGGCCTACAGCCAGTCTTGTCCCATTGTCCTGATGTAAAGTTCCAAAAGACACACTGGGGATTGATCAGGGAAATATTGCTTTTTCCAAATGTCATAATAATCTCAAAGCCCTGGGATATGTTTCTGCTCATTGTTGTTGTCATCACTAGGCCATTCACAGACTCACTGGTCTCACTGCGGTGGGGCAAAATTTGTCCAAGGGTTGAGTAAGCCACACTGATGATAGTTGTATTTGCTTGTAAGTTCTGAATTTGTGCTTCATTAATTAGTACATTACCACTGAGGCCTGATGGACCTGAGAACGTGAAGTTCTTTGCATACTGTGACCCGTTGCCTTCAGAGATAACTATGCCTTCTAACTGCAGGTTGGTGTTTCTAATAGAGGGGATGGTATTATTGACTGGTTGGAGGTACTGGGAAAATCTCTCCACTGACTCTAATAACAGAGAACTCTTATTTGTTTCCTGCTGGTTCAATTCATTCCAGGAATTTATTGTGGTGTTACTGACAATGATGTCTACTACAGTTAGGAAGTTCTGTAATAAAGAAAGATAGATGGCCTTAGTAAAATCCTACAGGACCTATACAGTCATTGTTATTGACGGTAACAATAATTGGGTACCATTCTCACCTATCTTCTTCTTTTGTCTAGTCCATATTAAACACCTAGATATTGGTATTTCCTCTCAGTTGTTTCATTTTCAAAGTTGGTGTCAGCCAAACCAGGTCTTCTCCCCTTTTCCTCTGTAATGCTGCTATACTTTTTCCTTTCTCCTAACTATCTTCTTGGCTTTTAGCTCCAGTATCTTTGACCCTGATCTCCCCATCTTGTAACCACCTGACCTACGTAACCAACTTAAACCAGTGAGCCTTTCTTTTCTGCTCAGCTTATTACTAAAAACCAGCACCATCCTTATCTTTGTCCATTTCCTATTACCCTCCTTTTGGCTCCTTCAGTTTCCCCGCAATTTGGGTGCTGACTAATCAAAAAACAAAAATTCTACTTTGACCCAGAGGCCAAAGAATCAGCCAACTTCTACAAGATTTAGCTGCAATTTACCTTCACTGTGGACTGCGCTGCCTCCTCTGGGATGGTTGAAACCAAACCCAGGATGGTGACAACTGCCCCCAGGTCTGGAGGAGACGTATTTATTCCTTGTTCTTCCTTTTTTACCCCTTCCACAAGACTCTGCAGATATTCGGGTAGCTTTTCTTTTGGCTGAGGACTAGACAGCAAAGCCTAGAATGGAAGGTAAAGACTCTGTAATGTGTAGGCAGTGTGATCGGGGTGCTCAGCTGAGGTGCACATTAAGGACCTAGTGAAAGACATGGACTTCCCTT